ATGGCGGCCGTTCCAGGGCACACCCAAGATGGCGGCCGTTCCAGGGCCCACCCAAGATGGCGGACGCCACAGGGGGCCCGAGATGGAGGCCGCAAGTAACGGAGGCAGCCCCAGCGGCGGTAAACTCCCAGGGAAGATTAGAGCCTTTGGGAGAACCAGGGAAGCGTACCCTGGGCTAGAAGGCGTTCGCGGGGGGGGAACGGCGGCTAAAGCGAGGAGAGGCAGGCAGGAACGAAGCGGCCTCGCGCAGAGCGATTAGGCGGCAAACGAAGCGGTGGGGGGGGCAGCGCTCGAAGCGCTCGTTTTCTCCCCCTAAGGAAACAGTTCGGAAGTTAAAAAACACTCCCTGGGGAGTTCAAACCTGAAGTCCTGCGCTGCCTGCCGGTGATCCAGTAGAAAGCGATGAGAAGGAGAGGCCTAGAATGCTGAACGACCGGAGCAAGGGAAAAACAGCCTGTTAGCCACGAGGCTGAGCAAAAAACTGGGGAGTGCCCGAGGACCACGTGATGGTGAGGGGGCGTTCCTCAATTTCAAGCTCAGCCTGGAAGAGCCGAGACTGGAGCTCCTCCCAACCTGGACACTCGAGACAGCTCTATGGAAAAAGGGGAGAAATTTCCAAGTGACTGATTTTGATTTCCTTTCCAGGGCAGGTTAAGTCCTCGCCTTACAGCCTTTCATTTAGTAATCAAAGCTACAGAGGCTCATGCAATCCCCTTTTTGAGACCTTCTGACTGAGAGAAACAGAATTATAAGTTATGTTTTTAGAATGGAATGTATATAGTTAGACTAGAATAGCAGCCGTAACAACACAAGAGCACACAATAGATACAAACTCAAGGTTAACCGCACCAAACTTGATTGCAGGAAATACGACTTCAGCAACAGAGTGGTCAATGTCTGGAATCCTCTACCTGACTCTGTGGTTTCTTCCCCAAACCCCAAAAACTTTAACCTTAGACTGTCTACTATTGACCTCACCCCTTTCCTAAGAGGTCTGTAGGGAGTGTGTGTAAATGCACCAACGTACCTACCGTCCCTATCCTATTGTTTCTGTCATTTTTCTTATATGTACCCATTTCATGTATTCATAACTATGTCTATACTTATACCTATTATCTTGTAAACGATTGACAAATTAAATAAATAAATCAATAAAATAAATAGAAGATTCTCTTTTGGTCTTTCTGATACTCTTCTGTTAGTTTCCTCTTTTTCTCTTTCTCTGCATAAACCCCCACCCTATAACCTAAAATGTGTCGGGCTGCAAGTCCATGATACAATCTCCTTGGAGAACGGGAAGATCTGCCAGGGCTAAGCAGCCAGGGAATATCCTCCCCAGGTGAAGCCCGAAACCAGGATAAGACCCCGAAACACAGAAAACAATGTCATGCTCACCCTGAAACTTGTTGTTTAGAATATGGAGAATAAGGGGTGTGTGGAGAGGGCTTCTTAGGCGTGGCGTGTTGTGTGCATTGGTATATAAAATGTATTGTTTGAATACGGAAGCTTGCTCTTCTTGGACCCAACTCCACTTGGGAAGGGACTCGAAGGCTTATTTATTTTCATAAACCTTTGAATGGTGAACCAGACCCGTTCCTGTCTTGTGAGTATTGAATAATTCGGTTCGTGCGTCTCACGTGACAGATCCGTGTCTCTGCCATTCTTCAGTGGAAGGAGAAGGGTGGGGTGTTGATACAAGTAATCCTTTTTTGATGTAACCTGAATGTCTTCATTCTTGTATTGAGTCTGTATAACTTGCACGTTGTTAGGAATGTAAGTCACCTAACAGGTATTTGGGTAAGAAATATATAAACCAGGATAAACATTTTCGTACTATGTCTTTAAGAGATTGCAAAAACTGCAATTGGGTGTGGTTTTTCAAAGGGCCATAAGATGGAGCCAGAAACCTGGATTGTTTTAGTCTTAGTCTCAGAAGAGAGTGTGTCCGAGTGAGTATCTCTGTTTCCTTCTGTTGGAAAATATTGCCGTTGCTCCATTTCTTCTAATTGACTGATATTTCTGGATTTAATGTAAGTCTGATGCTGAACTGTTTTTGACACTGGGCTTTGATATTTGGATTATCCCTGGATTGAAAACTGACTGATTTACCTGTGAATGATTTTTGGACTGCTTATTTTGGACTTTGCTTAAACCTTTCTGGAAGTAAAAACGTACATTTACTGTACAGTGTATCTGTGTGCTCTGTGTGTATTGTTCCAACTCTACTCTCTATACGTCTCCCTGTGTGCGCTCATTCTCCTAACGGGGAATTACCTCAACATACGTGATAGTGTAGGAAGTTAGCACTCACCCCTCTCCTAGAAAAAAACGAAATATCCTAGGAAATGTTTAAAACGGCAGAATATTTCCCCTAAAAAGAGTAGAAATCCAGAAGCAGAAACTCACCTCAGAAACAGAAGCTCAACCCCACCTTTGTTAATGGGTGGGCCATGAAGGCCTGGTCCAGAGTATCTTACATAACAAAGATCTCCAGGTAGAGCTAGAATAGGAACTGCCCAAAGCCCTTTTCATTACATCATCATCCAGCAAGGCTCAATCAAACTCAGTACAGCCTACAGCAGTGCTGGCTCACCTTTTGGGGCTCCTGTGAAAAAAAAAATTGTGTGCGCGCTTGCACGCTGGCGCTTGTGTGTCAGCACCCAGAAGGCCATGCGCACACACCCCCATGGACCCTACGCATGCGCATACAATCCCCACCCACCTATCCGCTGCACTGCGCCTCACGGCTGATTTTCAGCAGGTTTGAGGCCTTTTTCGGCCTCCCAAAGGCTCCAGGAAGGCTTCTTGCAGGCCAAAAACTAGCCCCGTTTCGTCACTTCCTGTTTTCCTGAAAATACTGGAAATGAAACCCACTCATGGATCTTTTGGGGGGGCAGGAATGAGAACCTATGCCTCTCTTCAATGAAGTCCCTGCCTAAGCAGGGGGTTGGACTAGAAGACCTCCAAGGTCCCTTCCAACTCTGTTCTTCTATTCTATTCTAGATGCTTTTTTTTCTTTTTTCTTTCAAGGGAGATGTGGAAACCTGGCTAAAGCCCCAGCCTTGGTTTGTTTTCCCCCCTTTTTCCAGGCCGCTTTTCCCAAAAAACAGAAGGGAAATGCTTCTCAGCCCAAAATTCAGGCAGATTTTCAACATCTGGGGGGGCCTTTGAACCCAGTTTAGCCAAGTTTGTTTCTCAACGTGATGCAATCAAGGCAGGGGAAATTTTTTTGGGTATTGTTTCCGGGAGGGTTTTTGAGAGCAGAGCCTTCCTGCTTTTGGTATATAGGACAAGAGATTTCCTGCTGAACACAGCGTCCAAAAGGCTGGCGGGGGTGAGGAGGTCTGGACAGAGTTCCAGGTAAGTGCAGAGCCCGTGGTACACTTGGGGTTGGATTTGTGTGCGCGTGTGTGTGTTTTTTGCACAATCTGAGTGTTGGTTCATTTGGAAAGAAAGGGAAAATGGCAAAGGGGAGTTTGGGAATCATAGCAAGGCGGGTGGGATCCTGTCTGCCACAGGCAGTTTTCAGTCTGCTTCTGTGAAATTTCTAGTCTTTAAGGTTCTCGAATGAAGAATCAGAGAAAGAAATAAGAGGGAGGGAGGGAGGAGGGGAAGGGGAAGGAAAGGAAGGAGGAAGGAAAAGAGAGGGGGAGGGAGAAAGAAAGGGGAAAAAAGAGAAAGAAAGAAAGCAGGGAGGGAGAGAAGGAAGGAAAAAGGGAAAGAAAAGAGGGAGGGGAAGAAAGAGAAAGAAAGGAGGGGAGAGAGAAAGAAAGAAGGAAGGGAGGGGAAGGGAAGGGAGAAGGAAGGAAAAGGAAGAAAAGATGGAGGGAGGGAGAAAGGGAGAAAGAAAAGAAAGAGAAAGATGGAAGGAAGGAAGGAAGGAAGGAAAGAAAGAAAGAAAGAAAGAAAGAAAGAAAGAAAGAAAGAAAGAAAGAAAGAAAGAAAGAAAGAAAGAAAGAAAGAAAGAAAGAAAGAAAGAAAGAATGGAGTCAGTCTATGGAGATTCTCTGTCATCCAGGTCATAGTTGTCCCAAAGGTGCTTTCTTAAAAAAAATTAAATAAAGGCAGCTGGAGTTCCTTGAATTTTGTTTCTTTAAGAACATTTTGCTTCTCATCTAAGAAGCTTCTTCGGTTCCATTCTGAAGAAACGTCTTGGGTGAGAAGCAAAATGTTTTCCAAGATTAAAAAAACCCAAGAAAGTCCAGTTTCCATTTGGAAAAAGATCCTTAGGGGAGAGAGAGAAAGAGAGAGAAAGAAGGAACAAGGGTGGGAAGGGAAGGAAGGAGGGAGGGAGGGAGGAGAAAAGGAAAGAAACAAAAAGAGAGAGAGAGAGAGAGAGAAAGAAAGAGAAAGAAAAAAAGGAAGAAAGAAAAAGAGAGTCAGAGAGAGAGAGAGAGAAAGAAAAGAAAAAAAAAGAAAGAAATGGAGAAAGAAAGAAATGAAGAAGAAATGGAAGGGGGGAGGAGTTCGTTAACCCTTCCCCAGCCGCAACCTGCGCTGACCTCCTTCTTCCCTTTATCAAGTTTGCAGAGAACCTTAAAGTCGGGAGGGGAAGCGGCTGTTTTAGGAGAGCCTTTCCCTGGATTTTGCAAGAGGTGGACGAGGGCGAAACAGGACAGAAAGAAATCTCAGTTCTGCCCCTGGAAGAGGGAGGCAGAAGGAGAGGAGGGGGAGAGAGGGGCTTGGGCAGGGGCAAGGGGGGAAGCCCTCCCAGGCAGTCCAGACCAGGAAAGCAAGACGGAGGACCCCGCCTTTGTCTTACAGTTGCAATAAGAGAAACTTGCACCGCTCCCTTTACGCCCCACAGAAGCCTTGTCCCTTCCGAGATGTTTTCTCCATCCAAGTTCCTGCTTTGGACTCCAAGTTTCCTCACCCAAACTGATGGGTAGGGTGAGGCACTTCCTGCTGTCTCTCTCTCTCTCCCTCTCCCTCTCTCTCTCTCTCTGCTGCATTTTCACAGCCCATGAGAGATAGGGAACTGGCCCTTATTAAGTTAAGGTAAGTTAAGTTAAGTTAAGTTAAGTTAAGTTAAGTTAAGTTAAGTTAAGTCAAGTCAAGTCAAGCCAAGCCAAGCCAAGCCAAGCCAAGCCAAGCCAAGTCAAGCTACGTTACGTTACATTACATTACATAACGTTAGGGTTAGGGTTAGGGTTAGGGTTAACCAAGTTAAGTTAAGTTAAGTTAAGTTAAGTTAAGTTAAGTTAAGTTAA